TCTCATTGTGGTTTTGATTTGCATTTCTCTGATGGCCAGTGACGATGAGCATTTTTTCATGTGTCTGTTGGTATACACTAATATTGTACTACGTGAAAAAATCAAGAAAACAATTCCATTTATAGTAGTTACTTTTTTAAAAAGATACCTAGAAATAAACAACCAAGGAAGTGAAAGAATCTCTATAGTGAAAAGTATAAAATTTTGATGGAAGAAATTATCTTCCCACATCAATAAATGGGAAGAAAGTCCATGTTCATGGATTGAAATAATTAATATTGTTAAAATGGCCATACTACCCAAAGTTATCTACAGATTTAATGCAATCTCTATCAGAACAACACCATTCTTTACAGAAATAAAACAATCTGAAAATTCATATAGAACCACACACACACAAAAAAAAAAACCAAATAGCCAAAGCAATCCCGAGCAAAAAGAACCAAACTGGAGGCACCATACTACCGGACTTCAAAATATACAATAAAACTATATTTACACAGCATGGAACTAGCATAAAACCAGACAGACCAATGAAATAAAATGGAAAGCCTAGAAATACATTTTTGCATCTACAATAGCCAACTGATTTTTTTAAGATGTTAAGAACATACACTGGGAAAAAGACAGTCTCTTCAACAAGTGGTACTAGGAAAATTAGATATTCACATGCAGAAGAATGAGATTAGACCCCTCCCTCTCACCATATACAAAAATCAAAATAGATTAAAGATTTAAAATGCAGAACTTGAAACTATGAAATTACTAGAAGAAAAAAGGGAAATTATTCTCAACACTGAGCTGAGCAAGGATTTTAAAAATAAACCCTCAAAAGTACAGACAAAATAAGATTAAATCAAACTAAAAACCTTTGCACCTTAAAGAAAAACTATTAACAAAGTGAAAACAGCTGCAGAATGGGAGAAAAATATTTGCAATCTATACATGTGACAAAGGGATAAAATCCAAAATATATAAGAAACTTAATTCAACAGAAAAACATAATAACGATTTTTTTTTTTTTTTTAGATGAAGTCTCCCTCTGTCGCCAGGCTGGAGTGCAGTGGCACCATCTCAGCTCACTGCAATTTCCACCTGTCGGGTTCAAGCAATTCTCCTGCCTCAGCCTCCCAAGTAACTGGGACTACAGGCATGCACCACCACACCTAGCTAATTTTTGTATTTTTAGTAGAGACGGGGTTTCACCATGTTGGCCAGGATGGTCTCGATCTCCTGACCTCGTGATCTGCCTGCCTTGGACTCCCAAAGTGCTGGGATTACAGGTGTGAGCCAGTGCACCCGGCCAGCTTGATTTTTTAAATGGGCAAAAGATTTTGACAGGTCTCGAAAGAAGACACACAAATGACCAACAGGTACATTTAAAAGATACTTAACATCACTAATCATCAGGGAAATGCAAATCAAAACCACAAGAAGATGCACTTCACTCCAGTTAGAATAGCTATTGCCAAAAAGACAAAAGAAAATAAGTATTGACACAGATATGGAGAAAAGGGAACACACACTGTTGGTATGATTGTAAACTAGTACAGTCATTATGGAAAACAGCATGGAAGTTCCTAAAACAATCAAAAATAGAAGTATCATATGATCCAGCAATCCCACTACTGGATATGCATCCAAAGGAAATAAAATCAGTATGCTGAAGAGATCTGCACTCCCGTTGTTTATTGCAGCACTATTCACAATGGCCAAGATATAGAATCAACTTAAGCATACAACCATAGATGAATAAAGAAAATGTGATACATAAACATAATGGAATACTAGTCAGCCATAAAAAAATAAAGTCCTGTCAATTGTGAATGGATAAGCCTGAAGGACATCATGTTAAGTGCAGTAACCCAGACACAGAAAGACAAATACCACATGATGTCACTCACATGTAGAATCTTTTTCTATTATAAAAGGTTGATACAGATAAGGCAGAGATTAGAATAGTGGTTACTAGAGACTGGGAAGGGGAGGGGAGAAGGAAGGATGGAGAGAGGTTAGTCAACAGACACAAAGTTGTAACTAGGTAGGAAGAATAAATTCTGGGGTTTTGTTGCATAGTACGGTGACTATGGTTAACAGTAAAATACTGTATATTACAAAATAACTAGAACAGAGTCTTTTGAATGTTCTAACCCACAAGGAAATGATGAACATGTGAGGAAATGATGAACGTGTGAGATGAAGGAAACACTACTCTGATCGGATAACTGCACAACATAAATATCAAAACGTCAAATAGTATCTCATAAATATGTACAATTACAATGTGTCAATTAAAATTTTTTTAAACAATTAAAAAGTTATTAGACCAGCTGTTGGATCTGGTTGAGTTAACATGCTTAAGAAGCACATGCATAACATCACACGTTTGATTTAAAATATTTTTCTACCTAAAAAAGAGCCCCAAAAAGTGCTGATACTTTTGTGCCTCCCAACTTGACTTATAGCCTCTTTTTGAAAGCCTCACTTCTACAGGGAAGGGTAACACATCCATTATTCCAGGTCACCCCTGAACCCAATAAAAAGAACTACGATTACTACAGTTATGCTCATTTACCCTGCCAACAAGACCATCAATTTGTCCCAATTTTGGCAGTCAAAGTCTTCATAAAATACATTAATGTCTTTGCTCATCACTCAAGATGGAAAATTAGAAAAAGATCACATAGTATTTTATTTCATCAGTGAAAACAATTAAGGTACTATGAAGTTTAAAAACTAAGCAGTCTTGAAAACATAGGTATGTTAAAATAATCTCCAGTGACCTCCTCTACCCACCCTCATCCTTTTCTGAGGCAGCCAGTCACTTGCCAACCAGCAATGGACATGCTCTCTCCCCACCACATCCTACCATATCACGTCCTCCCAAGTACAGTAACTCTGATGTAGCTCCTCTTCCATTTAATCTTTTACCACTCACATCTAAGCTTATTCAACAACAGAGAGTACTTCTAATATTTAAATATATCATCTCTTAATATCTCCTTTTTATTTCCCAGTGTTTGTTTTTGTTTGTTGTGTTTGAGATGGAATTTCACTCTTGTTGCCCAGTCTGCAGTGCAGTGGCATGATCTCGGCTTACAGCAATCTCCACCACCCAGGTTCAAGCGATTCACCTGACTCAGCCTCCCAAGTAGCTGGGATTACAGGCACGCACCACCATGTCTGGCTATATTTTACCTAAACAAAACATCTCTTGTTTTTTTCCATAAATAGAAGTACTTACTAAGGCTCTAGGCTTCTGTGTCCCCAATTTTAGAGGCCCAAAGTCGTTTGAATACCAGCTCTTAATTACAAAGAAAAAAGGGTACGCCTGTTTGAAGGAAAGAGACAATCAAATTATTTTAGGGCATAATTAAACAAAGAATCAGTACTTACAACCTTTATTTAGAACTCTACTGCCAGGGATGCGCTAATTAAACCTATTTTTCCTTAATCATCACTCAATAAAAAACAGCATTTTTCTCATGTCATTGTTTGCTTTTTTTGTACACAAATACTGCAACATTGGTTTGTATGACCTCTCATTGCACAATGTCTCATTTTAATTCTATAGTATTTCAGCTGCGTTGTAGGTTAAATTGACTCTTTGGGCTAATCCAAACTCTAATTATAAACTTCTATATTGCATAACTCGAATTGCCTGAAAGACTTACAAATAATTCTATAGCTATATCCCTAGCTTTTAACTTAAAAGGTTCAAGAAAACACTACACCTTGGCTTTCAGAACACCTGAAAACACTTTAAGGTCAAAGACTGTTTTCATGAAGTGAGCGACGATGGCACATGCAGCACAGGCAGAATTCACAATCGCAACCAGTGCTGAGACCCTGGCTAGTTGGTTTCATTTCGTTAGACTTTTGAGCAAGAAACTTGAAGAGAATGAGTCTTTCTATTCTGTAACATAAATAGCACACTGTGTCTTGTTTTCCAACAGGGGAAGACAAATTTTTTTAATTTCATAAGTTTGTATTGAGCTAAAAGAGGTTGAATACCAAATTCCGTTTCCCACAAGTCATCTCCTAGCGAGTAACCTTGATGTAGTTCCTCCCCCATTTCATCTCTTTCACCACTCACAGCTGAGCTAATTCAACAATGGGGAGTATTTCTCGAGTTTGGACTTAGAAATAAGACTATATGAAAGTCTACAAGACTTGTAAAATGGTCTTTATAAGTTATCTGTAAGTTTATAAAGCCATTTGACTAAGACGTGAAAATAGACTCCAAGTATTTCTGTTGTAAACTACAGCATTCTAACTTTTTTAGGTAACTAAAATTTTAAGTCAATAAAAGGCAAACGTGAGCAAACCGCTTGACGTAACTAAGTATCGCAAAACTGTGATCCAATATTCTAGGGTCAATATTAAAAATTAAAAGTTTCTAGACTGAGCCTGAAGAAGTCTTAATTCTTGACAATGGCAAGGGAGGTGAGGGGCAGAAAAAAATCCAGAAACGTTCCCAAAGCTCTGGGGTTACATTTTCAAGTCAGCAAAATGAAAGTTGGATCAGAACTCTTGTGTATGCATAATCTGTAAAATGTTTATAGTTTCAATGTACCATCAAATTGATGGATTAAAACTTTTTCAACTTGGAGGGGCGGAGTAGGTGACCTTCTCACATTTGTAAATTACCTCCCCTTTGTGGCTCAAGACTTTCTGCTGAGACGCTGAACAAAAGCTGTGTGTGACGTTTGTCCGGGGAAGGTCCCGGAGGCGGGAGAAGGCTAGGTAGCGAAATGAATCCCTGGGGGTTCTGGGGTGGGGCGAGGGGCGTGAGTTCCCGGTTGGGAAGGAGGCGGCGGCGACTTGGGGACTCGGTAACCTGTCCCGGCTGTGAGGAGAGTCCGGGCTGTGAGGAGAGCCCGGGGAGGGGAGGAGAGAGAAGGAGAGGGTGGAGCGAAAGCGCGCGGGTGGCAGGCCTTGGGCCGGGGAGAGGGAGGAGGCGCGGAGGGAGGCGAAGACGCTTGGGGCCTGACACTCACCCGCCGGGCGCTCGGGCTGAATGGGCCGCCACCGCAGTGCTCGCTCGCTCAGTACCACGTCACAGCTGTCCCTCCCGATCTCGAAGATGCCCCGGAGCAGAATCCGCTCGGCCGCCGCCTCCGTCTGCTGCGGGGACGTTAACAGCGCCGAAGGCACAGCGGCAGCCTCCGGGGGCGCCTCTGCCTCCCGGCCGCCCTCCAGGGCACTCACCCGGTTCCTGCGCCTCCTCCAGGGCATGGCGGAGCCGCAGGCTGGGCCCGAGCCAGGGGTACGGGGAGGCCTTTGGAAGAGGAGGTGGAGGGCGCGGCAACCCCAGCTCTAGCCGCGTCCTGCGCTGCCACAGCAACCGCGCGCAGGGCAAGGACCCAGGAGGGAGGCGGGGCCGCGCCTGACCCAGTCCAGCACCCTGGCCTGCCAGCCTCCCGCTTCGCCACTCACTACAAAAAGACCCAGCTGCAAGAGGAAGAATAAGTGGCTCCCTCCGCCTAGCTTCTCCTGCAAAGTACGGTTTCGCACTTTTCGTTACCCTCAAGTTAAACCAGCCCTCCTCAAACTTGCATATCATCCCTTAGGCGTCTTGTTCAAATGGAGATTCTTATTGAATAGGTGTGGGACTGGCCCCCAAATACCACATATCTAAGAAAATACTAGGTAATGGATCCCGCTGGCCAAGAAATACACTTTGAGTTGCAAGGGTGGAAGCCTCTTTTTCCACCTCCTTTCCAGAGGGTTCCCTGGCGAGCAGAGGTGGTGCTTTACAACCCTGTTACGGAGTACTAGCGCACTTCCCAAAACCCCTGAGGGGAAGCTAGAGATAAGGCCCTGGTTTGCATAGACAAATTTGCATCTGACAAATTCAGTATTAAAGGTAAGTGCCTCCAGGTGTAAGTATTTAGGATCTTACTTTCCCCCAAGGTATCTCCTCTGCAATCTTGTCTTTGCCTGGATCTTACACTCGCTTGAGGGAGATTTCAAGCAGCAGGGCTTCTCTTTCACGCACTGCTATAAAGAAGTGTCACCTGGAAAAGGAGACGACCCCGGGGGGACTGGGGGGGGGGGTGTTCACCCTTTTCTCCTGGTAAGTGAGATTTCAAATATCAGCTGCTCGTTAATTTGGAAAACACAAGAGAGTCTGGAGGATAGTGATACTCAATAGTTAGTGGTTGCACATTAAAATTACATGGGGAACTTTTGAAAACCCAAATATCCAGGCCACACTCAAGACAATTAAGCTGGAATCTCTAGAGGCGAGACCCAGACTTCCGGATTTTTAAAAGTTCCCAGGTAATTCCAATGTTTAGCCAAGGCTGATAATGGCTGCTCTAAGCAGGGTGATAACACAGGGAGCTGAGTATTTATAATGCGAGAGCAGTCAGGAAGAAAGTGAGTGCCTGGGAAGAGGAGCAGAGTGGGAAGTAAAGCAGAAGGCTTTTTTTTTTTTTTTTTTTAAACAAGGTCATTACCATCATATTGAAAAAAGGAGTAGGGGAGTTGAAGAGGAAATTAAATACATGGGTTGTAGATCTAGTTCCAGTGTTCTAGTGCCTAAACAGTTCTATCATAGAGGCAGCAAATTCTTATTCTTTCCTCATTCCTGGTCACACTGCAAAGTCACAGAAAGAGCTAACTATAGCAGGAGTTTCTCAAGGTTCTTAGTTCAGATGGTTTGTAGGCCTAATCAAATCCCTATCAAACATAAAGCACTGTGCACCAGTTAATCTAGGATTCTTACTGTTTAATGCTCCGACAATAAGTACCCAAGCTTCAAGGAAAAGCAAGGAAGAGTTTCAGTTTGATCTGACTGCAGTAAGCTATTTCTTAGAGCAGAAGTGCAGCTGCTGCTAAACTCCATGCAGGCTTCAGGTGGCTCTGCTCAGCAGTCATTAGTGGGAAAAGGATGGTGCCCTTCGCAAAATGAGTTGCAGTTCTGGAGTCAGCATCTTGTATTCACAGCTGTTAGGCAATCAACACAATTAGAGCTCACTGGCATTTTAAAAGCTCACCCAGAGCCAGGGCAAACAGACCAAGCCAATGGCTACTCATTAGGAGTTTTGCAAAGGTGCAAGTTGCCATTTTTCAAGCTTCACTCAAGCTAGGAAGTCAAAAACAGTGGCTTTGAATTGTCCTGAAGGTGGAAGAAATGAGAGTTGTGTTACCTTCTTTCTATCTTTTTTTCCTTTGATAAGCTGCCTTTTTCCAGGACTGTAAAGGCTGGAATGCCCTAGGGCTCTGTCTTTAGGATCTATCCACACACGCTGTCCCGTGCTTTATGTACTATCCAGGGTTCTGCAAATGATGACACCAGCTTCAACCACTCTCCTGAACTTCAGGTATTATGTCCAACTGCCTACCTGACATCTCTACTTGGCTGTCCAATAAGCTTCTAAAACCAGACTCATGATTTTCCATCACAAACCTGTCCCTCTCAGAATGTTTCAAATCTATAGTATCAAAATCCTTGATATCATCCATGTCTCCTTTGTCTCATACCTTCAATCCAATCTACCAGCAAATTCCTGTCCATTCCATCTAGAACAGATAGTCCTTTCTGCCTGCTGTCATTGCAGTCCGCACTTCTGCACCCCTCAGCTGGATAACTTCAGTCTCAGCTCTCCCAACCCATCTCTCTGCTTTCCCTTTCCCCTGTGCTGATATCTACAGCCCAGAGCCGATTTTCCACTTTGTAGTTACATTGTGCCTTTTAAAAATAACAAGAGTGTATAACTCGGCTCACAACCTTCCAATAACTTCCCATTATTCTTGGAATAAAGTCCAAATGCTTAGCAAGTCGAAAGGTCCTCCCTAATCTGGCCCCTGGCTATGTCTCTGAGATCACCTACCAACTTTTTCCTCTTGCTCATTCACACAAAGCCTTCTTGCTAGTCCTCAAACACATTGAGAGGAATCCCTTCTCAGAGCATTTGCTTTTGCTGTTCCCTCTGGCTGGAACGCTTTTCTCCCCACCAGATGGTCCATTCCTTCACTTTGCTCATTTTTCTGTTTGAAGGCCAGCACCTCAAAGAGGCCACTCCTGAGCACCCTCCATAATTCACCATCCTGTAAACCTGTGTATTCATTTCTTACTGCTGCTGTATCTAATTACCACAAATTTAGTGACTTGAAACAAAACAAATGCATTGTTTTATATTTCTGGAGGTCAGAAATCCAAAATCAGTTTCACAGGACTAAAATCAAGGTGCCGGCAGGCCTGTATTCCTTCTGTAGGCTCTAGAGGAAAATATGTCTCCTCTTTTCCAGCTTCTAGAGCAGCGGTCCCCAACCTTTTTGGCACTTCCACCTTTTTGTGGAAGACAGTTTTGCCACAGATGGGGGCAGTTTGGCGTTGTGAGTCTTTTGGAGGCATTAGTTTCTCATAAGGGGCACAAACTAGATCCCTTGCATATGCAGTTCACAGTAGGATTCAGGCTCCTATGAGAATCTGATGCTGCCACCGACCTGACAGGAGACGGGGCTCAGGTGGTAATGCTTGCTTGTCCGCCACTCACCACTCATCTCCTGCTGGGCGGCCTGGTTCCTAACAGGCCACAGACAGGTACTGGTCCATGGACCAGAGATTGGGGACCCCTGTTCTAGAGGTCACCTGTGGATTTTGTTTTGTTCTATGTTTTATTTGTTTTGGCTCGTGTTCACTTTTTCCATCTTCAAAGCCAGCAGTGTAACATCTGTCCTCTTTGTTTCTATCCTTAAATCTCTTTTCCTATGTCTTTGACCTTTGTGCCTTCATCTTGTAAGGACTCTTATGATTATATTGGACCTGCCCAGATAACCCTTAATTATGTTCGCAAAGCCTCTTTTGCTTTGTAAGGTAACATATTCACAGGTTCTGGGGACTGAAACATGGACATCTTCAGGCTGCCATTAATCTCTCTACTATAACCTGCTTTAGTATTCTTTACAGCACTTACTATTAATTCTTATTACATGCTTCTTTGTTTATTGTCTAGCTTCCCCACTGAGTTAGTGCAGTTAGTAACAATGCTGAAATACGGAGAACACTCAGTAAATTTTAAGTTTGTTAGAATATAAGCTCCTTGATGGCAGAGAATTTATCTTGTTCACCATTAAATTCCCAGTCTCTATCACAGTTCCTAGTACACAGTAAGTGCTCAATTAATATCTGAAAGAATGAATGAACTTCTTCAATATTTATCTATAACAATAATACCAAGAGACCCCAATTATTTCATGTTAGTTCCTGAAGATCAATTGTCTCATTAGCAGCGTGTGTGTGTGTGTGTGTGTGTGTGTGTGTGTGTGTGTAAAATACTAATGCATGAAAATTGCTCTCAAAAAACTTTCAGGAAGCTTCCTGAACATTGCTTTCCCTCCTTTGGCTGAAGCTTGGGTATTTGTTTCCAGAGCATTAAACAGTGTAAGTCCTAGTTTAAAAGGTGCTTTGTTGCTTTATGTTTGGAAGGGATTTGACTAGATCTGGAAACACAGTCTCCATCCCTGGTTCTTAGAAATCCAAGTCTGAGTAGAAGACCATAAAAAATATTCTGCTATTGTTAACATTGCTTTCAGGAGGCCTTTAAATATGCCCTGAAAACAAATACCCAAACTTCCAGAAGAAAGGCAGCAAATCCCCAGGTAATAGGCCAATGGGGCAGACTCCAGAAGTCTGGGCCACCTTCTCAATGCCACAGATAGAGGGAGACGAATTCACAGTCGACAGAGACATTCAGACCCACTGCAATGAGGTCAACAGACAAGGAAGTCTAATTCCAGTCAGGACCAACTGCCATAGATCTGAATTTTAGCCAGTGGGTAATCCTATGGTAGTCCCTTTGATCTCCCTAAGTCTCTGCTGAAGTTTGGAGTTTATGTGACAAATGATTGAGAGTTTATGCTGTCATCGACATAGTTCTTTCTCAAACTCCAGTATATAGATTTTTTTTTATTAACAACTTCTCACTGCAGGTAGAATAAAATCCAAACTTCTATTATGACATATGAGACACCATGTTGTCCAATTCCTGCCCACCTACTCAAACCCTCTCTTTTCTATCATTTTTCTTCTATTATTAGTATGTATCCTACCACTCTGGCCTTCATTCTACTCTTCAGATAAGCCAAGTTCATTCTCATTCAGGGCCTCTGCTGTTGCTGTCTACTCTGTCATTTTTTCACCATGGCATAGCTTCGCATGGTGCCCAGGCCAACTTCATGTCACCTCCGAAGGTCCTCCCTGCCCAACCATTCCAAAACTGACCTCTATTCAATAATATTTTCTTAATTGCACTTTACACTGTGTAAAAGTATGTAGTTGATTTATAATGTTTACTTATTTCTGTCTCCTCTCTTATATCAGAGTAGT